ACAGCCAGCATTAGCACCACCTGGGGGCTTATATGAAACACACATTTGCTGACCCCAGCCCAAAACCACTGAATCAGAATCTGTGTGTGTGTGGGGGGGCAGAACCTTTTTAACAAACTCGCCAGGTAATTCCTGGCGCACTCGAATTTGAGAAAGACTAAACTAAGGACAGCTATGACCACATTACACTGTGGCTTAAAACCTTTCCATAGTGCTATGATGTCTGGGATTTGCTTCAAAATAATGTGATGGGGAAGGAATGGGTGTGTACGCGTGGATGAATCCTTATTGGTCATGAGTGGATGGGTGATGGTTGAAGATGGGTGATGGATACATTGTACTAATCCATTTTTACATATTTCCATATTAAAACCTTAAAACACACATCCACAAGCATACATGTACATACAACCCTTATCCATGGCTCTGTACAGCCCTCAGAAGCCAAGTACAAGCTCTTTCACATGTGATCTGTGCTTACATTGTAGCCTCACCCCTTAAGCATGCACCACCCTGTTCTCCATCTGACAGCCTCACTGAACAACTGGCATCCTCAAAGGCATCTTGATGGCCACCGTCTCTCCCTGTGGCACTCTTTAGACACCATGTTGTCCAGGAAGCCTTCCCTATCCCACAAGACTAGAGCAGTGCCTCTCTGGGCCTCAGGACTCCTGGCCTCCCTCTGCCTATCAGTATTTGGTCCTGTCTGTCTTTCCCATGTGGATCAGACCTCCCCCAGGGCAGGGCCCATGTCCAGGGCTCTCCTTGGCTCTTGTTGTGGAAGAGGCAACAGTAAAGGACTATGGATTGAGTGGACAACAGCTTCTGGGGTCCAGGCTTCTGAAAGACAGTCCACCTCCCAGCCTCACCAAACAGGCCCTAGACCTGGGGGCCTGAGAGTTGGGGGTCCTGAGACAGGCATTCTAGACCCAGCTACTCTAATCCCTATGATCTTGTGCAAGTCACCCACTTTGAATTTCCCAACTCAATCTACCCTATAGACTGGTGGGTAGTGTGCACACCCAGGGTTCCAGGAAGACACTGGAGAAAGAAGGGGAGGAGGGATTCATATAATAGCCACTGCAAAAGAAGAGGTTGGAGAAGAGCAGGGACAGGCCCAGGAGGAAGACAGTGATGACTCCTCCCCAGAAATCATAGTGCTATCTACAGTACAGACCATCCAAGCTCCACTAGTCTTTGGTTTGGAGCCTAAGCCTCATTTCACCTCAAGCTTTCTCTCTCCACAGTTTCTCAACAGCAAGTCTGAATAATTCAGTAGGTGAAAGGCCTGCCAAGGAACCATATCTGACACCCAAGACAGGAATAAGATGAAAGTTTCCCTTTGGAATATATTTTAAAAATCTCTCTCTCCGGATTGACAAAAAGGCCACCCTGGGCTTTCACCTTGAGGACTAATTGCAGCTCCACCACTTACTAGTCAGGGTGACCTTAGCAAGTCACAGCTTCTCTCCGAGTTGCTGCCCACCACCCAGGGTGGTCACGAGAGGAAAATCATGTTGAGTGGTTAGGTTGTTTCCAGCCATCCCAAGGGACCCGTAGCTGAAAGTCATGATTGGCCTTATTATTGCATGGAGCACGATCTTCCAGATCCTCCAGCTTGCAGTCCGTAACGGGGGGCACTTCACAGACTCTCAGAGGCAGCACAGCACAGGATTAAGGGCATAGCTTGGTGCCAGATGTCTGAGTTACTACTGGCTGCGTGACTTTGGATAATTTATTTAACCTTTCGGAGCCTCAGTTTCCTCATCTATAAGATAAGGTTGACAGTCCTACCTAATGAACTTGTTTTGAGGATTGAGTTTAATACATATAAAGTGCTTAGAAGAGTGCCTGGCATACAGCAAGTCCTCAATTATATTTAGCTACTGATGTTATCATCTTCCCATGGGCAGAGCCCATGCCTCCTTCCGCTGCTACCCCCACAGCTGAGCCCAGTACTGCCTAGACACCTAGAGGGGCTCAGGGCAGACCTGCTGAGCTGGTGAATGGGTACCCAAGTACCCCCCTTCTTCAAGCCTGGAGGCCCCCACGTTGGGCCGCCCCTCACCTGCAGGTCGTGGGTCACCTCCACCACACCCTTGGGCAGGGAGATGGCGACAGCCTTCTTCTGCAACTTCCCCATCCAGGTCTTCAGTTGCTCTTTGGTCAGCATCTTTTCAAGGCGCTCAAGGGGCTCCACGTGGTGGGGCATGAGGATGATGAGGCTGGAGAGCTTGTGGGCCAGGGGCATCTCCACGATTTGCAGCTTCTCTTTCTCATCGTCGTAGTAGTTGTAGAGGCCTGAGAGAAGAGCAGAGAGGGCACTGGGCAGGCTGTGGGGCTAAGGTGGGCCAGGCCCCAAGCACCCTCAGACCCCCACCTCGGCCCCCCACTCTACAAGGCACTACCTGTCCTGTGCATCATCGTGACACCCACGGTATAGGAACGGGTCACCATGAAGCCTCGGTTGTCCACCATCTTGTGGTGGAATCTCTCATCCCAGTGTGCTGTAGTGGGAAATAGAATACAAGGTCAGAAATAGATGCCCCTTCCCTCGAGACACAGCCCTCCCCAACCGCATATCTGGATTTATCCCTGCCACAGGCCTTTGTTCTAGTTTTTGGGCTTCAGTTGCAGCCCACCTCCCCCCGAGAACCCAGACCACAGAGTACATGTTTCCTGCTTTGGGGAGTGGGGGTCTTTGCCCAGGACATGAAACGTGAAGACTGGCTCTCTACAGTCAGGGCCTGGCTGTGTCTACATGGCAAAGAATTCCTTCAGGAGGACCCTTGGGTCAGCCACCACCATGTCCACCCTCTGCCCTGGCACCTGTCAGTCATTTGGGCAACATATGCTAAGCTACATTTCCCACCCCACCTGCTAACTGATGGGTCTGTGCCCTAGGCAGGGAGTGCCTCAAGACCACCCTTAAGTTTTATCTGCAAGTCCCATCTCTGTGGCCAGAAAAATGACCCAAAAACTATGCTTATGTGACAGTGGCCTGAGCCCTGCCCTACGCCACAACCTGACCTGTGTTCAAATCCAGCCTCAGCTGCCTACTGGCTGTGAGACCTTTCACTACTTGGTCCCCTCACTTGTAAAATGGGGGTTACCTCATTCTCACAACACACCATGAGGGGAACAGTGTTATCCATACGGGTACTCAAAAATATGCACTAACCCCAATTCAACACAGAAGCACCTGGGGCTGCGTCCTGGCTCTACTACCTCCTAGCCGAGCTTCAGTTTCCTTACCTGTGAAATGGAGGTAACATCACCTGTCCCCAGGGTGGCTTTAAGGATTAGGCATGATCACAGGTGTGGGGCCTTCCTCCAGCTTACTACTGAGGCAGAAGTGATTACTGAATTTTACTGATTCCAAGACAAGCTACAGCACTTTGTGGTGATAAAACACAGTAGGAGCACAGCCTTTGGAGTTCCTCTGCTGGTCTTGAGTCTCCCCTTCCTTTTAGACACAGCGCTACACCTCTCTGAACTTAGTATCTTACATTTAGAAGGGTTTAATAACAGCACCTGCCTCCAAGGATTCAATGACAAGCAGCCAGGTGCTGGGCACAGGGATAAAGATTTCACTTGCCAGAGGCTCTGGGAACATGAGGCCCCACCCGGCCCCACCGCACACAGCGCTGCCCCTCCGGACTCACGCTTGAAGAACATGGCGTTGACCAGCAGGGCACCATCCGTGCGCTCCACCTCTTTGGTGACCTCAGGCAGCTTGCCATCGGTGGTCTGGGCAGCCCACTCGTTGATGGACTGCAGGGCGCTGCGCTTGTCGCGGAAGTTGATCTTGGAGTGCTCGCAGTTGTAGTGCTGCTTGCTGCTGCGCACGAAGTCGTCCGCAAAGCTCACCGAGCTGGGTCCGTACAGGCGGCTGCCCAGCTTCCAGGTCACATTGCGCGCAGTGCTGTTGCTGAGGGAGCGTAGCAGCTCGCCCAGGCCCGCGTGCACCTCCTCATCACGCAGCTGCTCCGCACTCAGTACTGCCTTGGCCTGTGATGCTGTAGCTGCCTTGCCGCCCAGTGACACTAACCCCAGCGACGAGGCCACCACCACGGGCGACAACAGGATGTTCTCCACCGCCTGATCCTTGGCCATGGCCTGGTAGAGGCTGAAGGCCAGGCCAGCGCTGCGCTCAGCCAGTGTGGCTGCCTTGGGGCTCAGCTTCTCTGCGGTTCCAGGGGCTGCTGCGGCCGCCGCGGGCTTCTTCACCTCGGCGGCCAGGGCCATGACCAGGAGGCAGAAGGCACTGGTAAGCAGGAGGCAGCGCATGGCTGGGAGGTGGATTGCGTGTACCACGGAGGACCTGGGAGGGCTGCAGAAAGAGCGAGGTCCTGAAGTCCTACCTAGGTGGTCCTCCCCAACAACCATCCCCCACCTTCTGGCTGCCCACCAAGTCCCTTGAAGATGGGAGCAAGAGAGACCAGAATTCTGGGGAGCCCAGACCTAACTTAGGGATGCCCACATTGGAGGGGTCTCAGTCTGCCTATCTTGCAGAGAGGCCTGCTTTGACCTCCCATCCAAAGCAGGGTTCCTGGGTTTCACCTCCACCCTAGTGTTTTCTTGCACTGAACTTAAACACTTAGACCCACGTGTTTATTTTGTATTATTTCCATCCGTAGTCTGTGACGTCTGGGAGGACAGGAAACTTAGCCAGTCTGGCTTCCTTCTATATCCCCAGTGCCTAGCATACAATAAGCCTCCGCTGTTCCTAAAGGAACAGAAACCAGGGTCACTTGGCCATCCCTGGGGTCCCCAGTATGTAGAAAGGTTAATTCTGATCTCATACAAACCTAGGGCCCTTTTCCAGTGGAAAAATGTGGCAGATGGGCTGAGGGTGGGCGTGAAGCCCAGGAGGCTGTGCAGAGGATGTAGGCCTGCTCCTCCCCCCATGCCTTTCATTCTGCCCTGGACGTTAATGAGTCATCATTGGTTGGTTCACTCATTAAATGAGAGCCCAGATACTCCACTCTGCTGCCCCGAGGGTGACCTTGAGCGTGTGTGTGCACACACATGTGTGTGTCCACCCCTTTCTGAGCTTCATTCTCTATTTTCCAAATGGCAAGGGTCTTAGTCTCTATGCCCAAGGCCTCTATCTTGGCAGGGAATTGCCCCCATCTGCCCACAGCCCCTGGAGTGGATAGGAAATCCCCAGGACAAAAGCTGGGATGGGTGGAGTAGTAGGTTTCCTGAGAGGAAGGACACTGGGGGAGGGGTTAAGTCACAGCTCAGTGGAGCAGTGACACCCCCTCCCCTTTCCCAGAAGCTGGCCAGATGTATGTTCAGCCTCCCAGGAAGCTGGGGATAGCCACTGCCACACACATCATCTGCTTTGTGACTTTAGGGTTGCCCACAGGTCCCATCCCTAAACCACACAGCAGTAGCAGTGGCCCTTTAGGACAAGCCTCATTCCTCCCTCTGGGGCGTCCAATCAGGACAGTCTCTTCTCATGGGGCATTTCCAGATTCCCCCTCCTTCAGGTCATTTCCCCCTCTACTTCATGCAACAGGACAGAAGAGGAGATGGCAGGGCAAGGGGAAGGGTTAGAAGGAACACTGGTAGAGGCTGGGGTCCCACTTCTCTGGCAGATGCCATCTTGTGGTCCTCCTCAAGGAAGAATGAAAATTCAGAATCGGGGTGGAAGACCCTCAGGACCTGGGCCTGCCTGTGGGAGCACTGGGTTTCTGCGAAGGCTCCACTGCTGCAGTGGTCCTGTGAACCCCCTCCCCTGGCCCCTTCCCTAGGCTGCCCCGTCCTTGAAGATGCAGGGCAAAGAAGAAGCAAAGGGTACATGGGGAAAGAGGTGGGGAGAGGAGGGAAGGCCGCTGAGATCCACAACTGCCTAGGAGAAGGTACAAGAGAAACGTGTGCCCTGGTGTACAGATTGCAGGGGTAAGAGAGAAGCTCACTCTCAAGTACAGCTTCGAGAGGAGATCGGTCAGGGCCCGGCCACCTCCCCTCCAGCCCTAACTCCTTCCCCACCAGGCCGAGTGTCTCAAAGGCAGTGACTACAGAATTGTTGTACAAACAAGCACCCTTAATAGAGTAGAATGAGGCCCTATGAATTATGCCAACACAACAGGCACACTGTCACCCTCTTCAAAGGCCACCTCTAATCCAGAGAGCTAACGCCACAGCTCAGACCCCTGCAGAGGCCACCAGCATCCCCCTTAAGAGAAAGTCAAGAAGCACAGCTCACAGCCCTGCCACGTGGCAGACACCATCTCGACAGCCCCCACCCCAGTCAACAGGAACCTCAAAGGGCTGGGAGGGGCTTTTCAAGAAAGCTCCAAATGACTAGTTTGGAATTCCTCAGGCAGCCACACAGCTGCGCTCCTGCTCCAGCTCCTGCTCCAGCTACGTGGCAGGCTGGAAACTAAATGATCTCCACCCACCAGAGAGGGGCTTCCAGCCTGGGAAGCAGGAGGCCTGGGTTCAGGTCCCAGAGGGTACCATGGAATCTCCCTTGCCTTAGCCCCCAGTCCACACATGGCTCTCTGCAGAGAGATACGCGGCTGTGGGGAAGGGCTGCCCTGTTAACCCAGCAACAAGAACGGAGGGAGGCAAGTCACTGCAAGCAAGCCAGCCTCCCACAGCCCAGCCCATGTTGCCACAGAGAAATCCCAGCCCTTAGGCTAAGGTTAGACGATTTACAGTCGCACAAAGAAAAATACAGGATCAGATGCTCACAGAGAGCCAGACTGAGTTGAGACCGGATTCTGGGTTTTTATAAGAAAAAACAGCCGCCTCAGGGGTCACCAGAGAGGGTCTCAAACACTTGAGCGGGTCTAAAGTACCTTGAAACTGCCTCAGGGGGAGGTCAATGCCTGCCTTTTTCATTCTGAAAGAAAACAGAAGAGTGAGGAGGATCCGACAGGGCAGAGCCTGGGTGGTGGTGAAGAAAGGCCTGGAGGGCCCAGCCCCCAAAAGGGACCCCATCTACACTGCCCCTGGCACAGAGAGGTGTAAGCAGTCCCAGATCTACAGGGACCTTGGGTCCACCCCACTGTACAGTGGGAGAAACTGAGGCCAGAGAGGGGCAGGGAAGCACCCCAGGCCCACAGGGATCAGTGGGGGTCAGGCCTCCTTCCTCCCAGAAGCCCCTGCTGAGGGCTGGATGTGGTGTCCTGTTACACAGCCAGTAAAAAGCATTTCTGCTGGGAATCCTGGTGACCCGGAGACAGGAGGAGCCTGGGAGGCCTCAGGGAGGGGGGATGGGCAGATGAACCATCAGAGGACAGAAGGGTGTGGTCCTAGTCAGAGACTTCCAGGGAACCAACGCCCCCTAATTTTCCTGGGCCTCCCTCCATCCGGGCCCTGCAGCCCAGAGGGACCAGCCGGAAACCCAGGGAAGAGGAGGGGCCAGGCCTTGTGGCCGTGCTGGAGGTGGTTTCATTCTTCTTCCTCCAGCGTGTCAGGAATGTCTCTAAGCTGGGGGCAGGGAACCCCAGTCTCTGGAAGTAGCCTTAACCCTGCAGTTCCTTCAAGAACCAAGTAGCAGTAGGCAGAATTAGAGTGGGCGACTCAACCTTCTAGTCAGCTCTCCCTCCCACCTTCACTGGAAGGGTGCAGACCTTGCTGCCTCCTCACCCCTTTTGAAGGGGATGTCAGGGAGACTGGTGCCGGTCAAGTCCTTCCTCTAGTTGCCATCTACACATGCAGGCTGCTGATTAGAAATGAAGCCACCGTTGGTGACTCCTCCCAAACCATGGGGACCCCAAGAGCCAAGACTCCCTCCACCCCAGGAAAAGACTAGTTCACCTCCTTTCCTACCACCCTGCCTTCAGGAGGTTCACAGGCCTCTGCAAGATAGTAAGGAGGCTGGCCCACCAATCCCTGTAGTCCCCTGGGCCTCAACCCCAGAACTGGAGGCACCTGACCTGCAGAGCAGGCCTGGCCGACCAGTGCTTACTAGAAGGGGCCCCAGACCTATCTCCTCCTTGTCCCTGCAGAGAGTCGAGTCTTAGCATCCTGGCTCCTGCCCCACTGTTTCCCCTCTGCCATCACACCCCGCCCGAAATTTTGGGGGAAGCCTGCACTTTTTCAGGATCTTCCAAGTGCTGGACTCCACAATCGGCTCTGGTCTCTGCCCTAACCCTCAAGCTAGGTCCGCCACAGCCATCTAGCCCCGAATTCTCGATCCGAACCCTTCAGCTGCTCCCAAAGTGCCACGGGCTCTAGTTGGCGGGATCTAGGTTGACCTCCAATCCTTCCCGAGGGCCGCCCGCCCGCCCCTTTCTCCCTTAAGGAACCCCCAAGGCTCCCGCCGCTCCCCAGGCCGGCCCCACTGACCCCCAGCTGCCCTACCCCTCACCTGGGCCGGGCCGGGCTGGCGCCGGAATGGGACTCTCGCACTCTCGCCACCGACTGATTCCACTCCCCGCCGTACCCCTCTCCCCTGATCTATATATGGCGTCCCCTCCTCCCGCCCGTCCCGAGAAACTTCTGGAAAGTTGGAATAGCTTCCGGAGGGCGCCCCGGCTCCTCCAAAAAAAAATCCCAAAGACCTCCCCCAAACCGCCCGGCCTCCCGCCCCCTCCCTCGGCTTGCGCTCTCCCAGCCGCTGGGTCCTACTGCCCCATCGTCGGATAGGGCGCGGGGGAGCCGCCGCCGTGGGTGGGGGGAGTGCTGGGGGTTGGGCGGGGGAAGCATCCGGACCCTCACGACCTGCAAAGAACGCGCGTCCTCCGACCCAGCGGAGATTCAGGATCCTGTGGTCCTGGAGGTGGGGGAGGGGGAGTTGGGACTGCTGAGCTGGAGGGCACGCGCGGCTCTAGGGCCCAGCTCCCCGGAAAGCAGCACCCTCCGACCCCCGGGCTCTCCGCACACACCAGCTAGGCCCTGATCGCACATTCCTTCCAGTATCTCTTTCCCTGCAGGGGCTCTGCCCGGATGGATCCACTATTTTAGAGCTGAAACTTAATGGGGTCCCTCTACGCACCCCCTCCTCAGTCAGGGCCCTCTCTCCATTGCCTTAGGGGAAGTGGTCAGAGGTTGGGAAGCAGAGCCTGTTTCCATCCGCAGTTTGTCCTGAACACCTTGGCTGGAGCTCAACCTCAGTAACCGCCCTGAAGGGGAGTGGGGTTGGACCACACTCAGAACTTGACCCCTCACCCGGTAAAGCCTTGGAACGCTTTAGAGGCAGAGACACCTGGGAAACATCAGGTGGTCTGGCTGAGCCTGGAGGGATGGACAGGAAAGAAACCCTGGCTGTCCACTAAGTAATATGCTGCGTGACACTAAGCAGGTTACTTAAGTTTTCTGGGCCTCTGTTCCTTTGTGTAATGTGGTGCTAAGTCATTCCTTGCTTCCTTTCCTGTCTGTCTCTGTCCTTCTCTCTCCTTGATCATCCCTGCCCCACTGCCAGTCTGGGTCCCCTCCCTCACTATCAGCTACTCCCATCCCACCCTCCCACAACTGATAGTCCCTTGATCTCTGAGCTAAGCTGGGGTATTCATATCTGTTCTAGGAACCGAAGACACAGCTGAACACAGGGCAAAGTCCCTTGAGGATTACGTTCTGAGTTGGGTATGTAAATGTTAGTAGGGAACTCAGGAAGGCAGAAGATTATTTGGGACACCCCTCTCCCATCTTCTTTAGCAATGAAATGATGGATAACAGATGGGCACAGTATGGAGAGGAAAGCACAGGGTAAAGAGACACTTCATTCACTCATTCAGTCAATCAACAAACTGTGCATAGCGTTGTCTTTCTCCCAGGTATATTTGTATCTCAGGGAGCAAATGACGCCCAGCAATGGGCTGATGAATCATCTGGACCCCTGGCGGCGGGGATGGGGGAGAGCCCTTTCTGGCCACCCCAGCCTAGTGGTGGTGACTAACTACTCAGTCTGGATTAGTCTGATTGCAAGGACTGTGGGAAATCTGAGATCCCATGAGCTTCTGACTCTTCGAATCAGGGTCAAAGATTTGATTACTTGAATCCTAAAGTGATCATCATAGAATATGACATCTTACTCGAAGCCCCGTGGAAATTTTGAATCCACCTAAGGAATCTTAGAAAGTCAAAGGATCTTACAATAAAAGTATTAAGGACTCAGGGCTGCAAGGCATCTCAGAGGTCGAGGATTTCTGTCTGTAGCCCCAGGCAAAAGTCCTCTCTAGTATCCCAAAAAGGCCAGCACACAGGCACCTCCAAGGACGGGGAGATCACTCCCTAGGTGGCAGCCCAGGAGTCTTTCTTAGGACAGGTCAGATCATTAACACAATCTTCCCGCATTAGGGTATATCTCTCTTTTTGGGGTGGCTGTCCTGGTTGTCACATGCTTTCTTCCTACCTCAACTGTGTATGGCTTTTAAGGATAGGTCCTGACTATCCAAGGAAATCACATAGGTCCCAGGCCAGACCCCAGCCTCTACCTCACCCCTGACTTCTGAGCCCCAGGCTGGCCCTTAGATGGTATTTGGCCAGTGAGCTAAGGGTCCATAAAAGCTGGTGGAATGAAGGAGAGGTTCGTCTTGGTTTCCAGCAGGTCCACATGTCAAAATCCCAGAGATTTCCTTTCTTCCACACTTTTCCATCTCTGAATCCTCACCAACACTTTAGGGAAAAGCTGAGTACTGTGACTCAGTTACTGCCCCAAGGGAAAAGGGCAAACTGAGGCTCCCGCTGTTAGATAAACCCAGAATCCTAGAAGGTCAGAGTGGAAAGGACCAATGCCCTCTATTTTCATAGGGAAGTTAAGGCCTAGGGCTGGGTCTGAAGACCCTCTGCCAGCCTCACCAGACGCCTACTGTGTTCAGACTGGGTCGGAAGCCTCCTCCGCTGCATTATTTCTGTGTTATCACCCTGTATTGTCACTGAATGTCACTGTAAACTTCGGAAGGGCAGGACTTTCTCCTTCTCACCCTGAGTCCCCATTACCCACCACAGGGCATGCCCAGAAGAGGCACTTGGTAAGTGTGGCCAATGATGCTTCACTCACCAGTGATGGGAGGTGGCTACCTAAATCTGCTAGGCTCCAAGCACAGCCTCCCTAAAGAAAGAAAGAAGGGCAAGGCTCCTTTAAATTTCCAAGATCAGCAAAAATATGTCAAGAGCCTTTGCCACATTATTCTTAACTCTAAGCCCAGCCCAGGCTCTGCTGGCTGCAGCCATTCCCCCACACTCCCAGGCTGCACTTTCTGGAAAAACCACTCTTATTGGAGGGGGAAGAGGGTCTGAAATGCAGAGCAACTCCAGCATTTCATGTCTGGATTCCTCCAGTGCCTTCAGCTCCGTGCAGGAACTGTTCCTGCCTTTCTCCCACCTCCCACAGGGGCTCAGACAGAAATTCTCTAGGTCCCAAGAAGCGTGGGCAGCAGGAAATAGAAAAATCATCAAGGTCAATTGTATCTACACTGTACAGAAAGAAAGACTGAGGTCCAGAGAGGGACAGGAATTTTCCCAAGGTCACACAGCAAGTCAAAAGTGGAGCTGGGCCCTCCCCCACACCCTGGACCCTCAGCCTTCCCCTTCCCCCAATCTTCTAACTGATCCAACCAGGTAGGCAGGTCCAGTTCTGCCAGGTATTGCAGAAATAGCTTTCTTTGGTATCAGTGGCTAGAATCATGCAGACCTTACCCTATAGTATCCTAGAGCAAGAACTAACATGTGATTTAAGTGCCCAGCATATTCATATTATCACATTGAATACTTTCAGGATAAGTAAAAACGTCCTCATTTCAAACATGAGGAAACTGAGGCTCAGGGAGACTACAGGTGTTTAAGGGCATACAGCAAGCTGCAGTCAGAACTGGAATTTCAGCTAGGGCTGTTTGTCCCTGGGAAGGTAGGAGAGGGGAGAAGAGGTGAGAGACATTTATGGGGCACTTCTCTGTAGCCAGGCCCTGTGCTGGGTACCCTAAACAGTGTCTCATTTTTAATTATAGTATATTAATTGGAAGAAAGTGTAATCCCTTTCTCCTTTTGATATGTGATAGAACTGGAGCCCAGAAAGGCTCCAATAACCAGGCCATGGTGGGTCCCCTCCTTCAGAGACCCAGGGCTGCCTGCCACAGGCGGTTCTTCTTTGAGATACTGCCCAGAAGCCAAGAATGTGCTCTCAGCCCAAAGCATGAGTCAGGGAAATACAATTTCTGCAATCTCTGACTCTCTCTCTCTCTCTCTCTCTCTTCCTCCGCCCCCCCCCCCCAACCCTGAGTGTGGGGCCTTCCAACCAAAAGGGCTCTTCTGCAAGCTGCCACGTTGGAGAGTGGGAGGCCCCAGGCCGGGGTGGGGGTGGGCAGGCACATGATTCCTCCCAGCTCCTCCTGGAGCAGGCCCCACCCCCACTCCTCTGGAATCCTGGTGCTGAGAGCTGTCACACAGTGCCTTCACCCACATGCCTGACACAACACCCAAGAGACACACGCCCACGGACACATGATGCTGCAGGCACACGTATCCGCCCACCCATGGCAGCTCCTTCATGCAATCCACATACACTAACGTCTATGTAACTCTGTAGCAACACAAATACACCACACGTGACACACATGCTGAATATGTACCTGGACACAGGCCCAGATTCGAGGTGACAGGGAAAGAGCATAGCCTGGAAGGTTGGGGATTCCACTCTCATCTCATCATCCCTTATTAGCTGTGAAGCCTTGGGGAAGTCACTTCCCCTCTCTGGGCTTCAGTTTTCATTTGTAAAATGAGAGGATGTGACTTCTTGCCACCCCACACCCTGCCAGTTGACATTCCCCCAGCCTTCATCTCAAAACCTGTAGGCATTTCTTGAGCATCTGTCATGTGTAAGGTGCCAAAAACCTGGTGAGGCAAGGACGTAGGTCCCATTGGGAGATGGAATGAGCCAGGGGCAGAACCCAGGGAAGGGCTCCTGAGCCCAGCTCAGGGCTTCATCTGTTGCACCTGCTCAAAACTCTTCTGTGGTCCCCAGTGGCCCCTGGAGAAAGCCCCAGCCCCCTTTGGCTTGCAGCAGGCATGCCAGTTTGCAAGTGCACGTCCTGGTGCCCCTGGACAGAGACTCTGTGCCTACTTAGGACCAGAGCAAGGGAGGACGCTCTTAAGAAAGCTTGGCTTTTGGGAATGGGGGGCACATTTTATTTTGGGTGGACTGAGAACTCCCTTCCTTCTCCCAGCCCCCCCCTCTTAGGCCTCCTCCGGCAGCCCTTAGAAATGGCTCCAGCTGCCTGCAAGTTCAGGCCCGGAGGGCTGGTAGGGTGGTAGGATGGTTGCTAAATACTGCCTTGCCATCTCCCTTCCCCAGTTGCCTCTCCTCCCACTCCCTCGTCCAGTGCCCAGATCTTTTCTCCCCCAGGTGACACGGGCAGCTGTAATTATAGTGATGCCCAGATCAGCTACAGGGCTGCCCTCCAGGTCTTATCATTTCTGACACTCAGAAAAGGGACCCCTGAGCTCTGAAACCTCGCCCCAGCCCTAATCTACTTCAGCCCAGGGCAGCCTCCCCAGTGTGATGAAGCCCTGGTTTGGGGGTCCA